CCCCCCCCCCCCCCCCCCCCCCCCAGTGTTTATGCATTTTCGCACATTTATGCAAATGCAAAAACGCATATTGGCAGGAGATTGTTTGTATGTATGTGTTCGCATTTTGCCACTAACTTTCAAATCAGTAATCAGAGAAGCTAGTAAGCTGAAAGTTTTGCATCATGTTCACACCCCAAGTGCGACCTTCCCATTTTAGTATTATCATTCACATACTTTTGGATCTCACACGTGGGCGCCTAAAAAATATGTAAATTTTCTGACAGGAAAGCAATGCAGGAGACTAGGCAATATAGGGAGCTGAAATTTCATAGGAATGTTCTATTTCTTTGTGCGAGCTAAACAATTCAAGTTCAGCTTTAGCCGCGCCTACATCACGTGAACGGATACATCGGAATTGAGATTGACATCGTTGGCAAAATGCGAATTCAGGAAATAAAATGATTAGAATATTCTAACATTGTGAGAGTATTTGGTTTCCACACATGGGTATCTCGGCATAAAATGAGCCGTAGCGTTTGCTGTTTCTCGTACTCGGACACAATGCTTGTAATGAAAAGCCATTTCGCCAACGAGTCATGCTAAGGAGTTTGTGTGACAAGGATATTCTCTGCTTATGCGTGACCTAAATATGTCAAATTCAATTTTAAAACGCGTAAGTGAGGGCTTAGTTTGAGACATTGTTGGCACCCAATTAAATCAAATCATGCTGAGCAGGAAGTAGTATTTTTTTGAGGATGTTTGCTACCTATGTGCGAACCAACAAGCATAAAATGAGCTTTTGCTTAGGCATGTGTTCTGCGTACAGGCGCTTCAAGTGTACTAACTGCAACTCTGTAAACACACCCCAGGAGTGCAGATGATCTCTTTAAGGAACAGAATCATGCAAAAGCGCGTGTTCACATCGGCGAGCCTGGTGCGTCGCTACCTAGCTTTAACATCATAGCATGCCGTGCAGGTGAAGAATATTGCAACAATTGTCTGCAATTAGCAGCGGTGCGAGACATTTCCTCTAGAATTTTAACATTTGAAAACAGACTGAATCTGCGTTAAAATGCGAATTTTCAATCTGCTGCCCAAGAAATTCATGGAAAATTACCATCGTTCTGAGCCGTGACAAGAAAGGTCGTTTATGATAGTTCACAGATGAACTACAACACACAAAATAGATAATAACTAGTAGTTAAAAAACAGCGCTGTGAAATTCTCATCATTCTTGTAATATGAAACATGTGTTCGCTTTCCTCAAATCTAACACCGGTGTTATCATTTAGGTTCATCCCACGATACCGCCATTTTCATGAAATATCAGAGCCGACGCTTTACATCATCGTTACTCTGCTTAGCTGTCATTGGTTAGTAATACTGATTGAAAAATTTTGGAAAGTTTAAAAAATGAGAACTGGTACGTGTTGACAAATGTCAGTTTCTGAGTGCTAGGGGATAATTTCTGTAAGTAAGTCAGCGATTATAACACTTCAGTTCTGACACTGTTGATAGTGTTTAGCGTTCGAATGCAGTAAGGAGTTTAAAGTGAAATAGCTATAAAAGCAAAGCAGATGCGAGTTTTGTCGAGATCGATGCATTCATTTCTAGCATTTGTTTTGCCTCACCCTAAATAAATAAAGCTAAATAAAACTCTAAGTGAAAAATTTCTTGGATTAAAAACCAGGCAAGATAGGAAGTTCGCAATTTTATGAGGATGCTTATTGTCTATGTGTGACCCAGGTAAAGTCGTATACGTGCGCATCTGAAAGTTTGATGGGATTTTTTCCAACTTCGGACTAGAGCGAGATTAAAAGCTGAAATCATGTTCAGATTCACGTATAACCCTGAAAATTTAACTAAGCTTTCTGCGTACACGATACGACTCATGTTAAGCTTTTGGTAGGACTAAATTCGTAGTGTGTGACTATTCGACATTGGTGAAAATCTGAAAATAGCATGACAACTGCTGAGTCATCAGGCCAGGCGAATTTGGCACACATTGCATCGATGCACTAACGAAATGTTGAAAATTCATAAACAATGACAGAAAATGCATCACTGGCTGATGTGCTGGTTTTTATAAACAAACAAAGACAAGAATTTATTCCTCAACATTATTATTTTGCAAAACAGTCCAGAATGAAGGATGCTGGAGAATTTAATTGGTAAAATTTGAGGGAACACAGTTGTAGGAACTGTTTTTCATTTCAATTTCTACTCTTTGTCAAATTTTTCTATACATAAGTCTTGTTTTCCGGCTCCATTCAGCTTTCATTTTACTTTTTGGAACACTTTTTATATTTTCTTAATTTATGTCTTCTCTATTTTCCTATGTATGAAAAAACTTCCCGTTGCACAAGTGTGCTTGAAGGAAAAATATCATGCGATTCCGAAAAATTCACGCGTGAGACGATGCCCGGCGCTCAGTATTACGATGGTAAGAAGCTGAATATCCCGATATCCACGGAAGCTGGAATGGAACTGCACGAGCGCTGGGCGCACCAGGGAATTAGCAGTGTTATGTCTGCCATCGCTAAGCAGAGGTCCGTAATTTTTCATAGTATTGTCGAAAGCAGATTATTGACAATTGTTAAAACTAAGTCAGATTTTTTTCCAGTGTCGAAAATTTGAACGAATTTGAGAGGAGTCGCTTATATAGATGCTCAAGGTCTGCTGAAGATATCTATGAGCATGCTAAATGCGTTATCAGAGTGATTGACATCGAACCACGGCAAAAGCACATGGAAAAACGTTAGAACAAGCTTTTCTCGTCGTATACATATAATTCCTCAATCCAGACAGCCGTTTTCACGAAACTGTTTTTGCTTTAAGCTTCTCCAAGGATTCTAGATTTAGATTAAAATGGTAATAAAAACAAAACTAGGGCTTTGATTTTTATGCGTTTTTTACTGGTAACAGCTGCACAAAGCCGATACTGTCACACCCGTGTCAATGTGTGTTTTTGTGTGTGTGGGTGAAGGCGGGGTGGGTATGTGCGTCCGAGTAAATTTTGTTCTAGATTCGCACCTCGTTTTTAACTTAAACAAGTAGTGAACTGAAATTTTAAGGAATGTTCTCTGCCCAAGTACAATCGCCTTGGATTTATGTACGGCCGCGAGAAAGTTCCGGTGCAAAAATTACTAACGCAGGAAACACAAAGGCTCGGGAGCTAAAATTTTACGAGTGTGTTCAATGCCCCAAGGATTTTAAATTTAGTACTCATTTTCGATGTCTGTTTGGCGGGAAATTCCCCAACTCCATAACTAAGCATGGCAGAAGGCCAAAATTTCAAAAGGATATTTCTTGTCCATGTACGATTCCGAAAATTTTAGACTGAGCTTCCACGCATGTGTAGATATTGCGTACGGAAGAAGGTAAGTTTCGGTCAAACATTCCGACGATTTCTGCACATACCAAGCAGCAAAGCCATGAATATCTTTTTAGCAGCAAACTTTCGCTAGACAGAACTGCACAGAACGCATGATCGCATCAGCTACCGTGTTGCGTGTCGCTATTTATTATAGATTTTTCTTCACTAAGCAAAGCAGTCTGGGTAGCACGGAAGCAGTTTTGGAATCTCAGCCTGCCTTTAGTTGTCACTTCGTATTCCAAATTTGGACTAGTGTTCTAGATTTAAATTACTGATTTGTACACAGTTTACTTTCGAATCTTCCAGTGTCCTAACTTCGAGGTTCAACTCAAGCTCGTGTAGTGAATTCGGTGAGAAGCGGGGAGCGAATTTAACGTTTTGTAGTACTAGCCCGGGCAGCATACTCGCTACCACATTTGTTCACTTTGGACCCTTAGAAGTCAATCACAGCAATGCATGATCACGTTAATTCCTTACTGCACTTCTTGGTTTGCTAAAATTTTATGTTTAAGACGGTTTCCCATAATAAGACAGAAGAAGCTGGTCTAACTTACTTTTATACAATCCTGCAGCAATTATAACCGCCCAAGAATTAGTTTTAAGACCTCCAACACCGCCTAATTTTATAGCCGGCTGAGGGTGTGAGAACTGTGGCTCAAAGTAATTCTGCAATTCATGGGGCCGTTTAGCAAACCCGCTACTGGTTCTGAAGACCAGACCTGGAGTACAGCATTGAAATTTGCTCAACTTGTGGAGTTAAACACTAAGAATGCATCCCTGAATTGTCGCGAGCTGTGAAGTCAGCTGAATGCAGTAAATATTCTTCAAAGCCGTTGCTTGCTATGGAACGAAATCTAAAAATTTCGACTTTTGACTGGACTAGTGTCCGACATTTATGGGCGTTTCTTATTGGTGTGCACAATTTTCAAAAATAACGAGTCTTAAATGTGCAAAATACAGAGCTGGAAGACATAATTCTGGTGAAGGACGTAATTCTGAGAATATTTTTTTGGCAGAGCGCCTTTTTTAACCAGGGGTTGGAACGATTTTCTTTTAATTGATGCTTGTACGTAATGCACGATATTTTTCATGAGGGGAGGTGAAGCCAGCGTACCTTCAGATATTTGGATAAGGAAAGAGGGGATACGAAAGGTGCACTATGCACTGAAGACTCGGCCCTCGTCATTTTTCTTCGTACGAAATTCTTGTAAGGCACGATTGTTATGAACAAAGTCTTACTTTTTTATGCATTTTGTGTTGCAACAACTGCACAAAACGCATATTGTCAGGACTCTATCTGTGCGTATATTCCGAGTGCATTTTATTCGGTGGTTTCAATTCGGGAACTAGGGAAGCTATGAATCTAAGAATTTAATAAAATGTTCCTCATCCACGTGCGACCCAGTAAACTTAGATTCAGCCTTGACGTCCCCTCGGGTACCATGTACGGCTCTGCGGAGGTTTGGCGGAAAGAACTATTATCTCAGGAACCGCAAGAGCTAGGAAATGTTAAGTCGTCCCTCGACCTCTAGACCCAACAAATTTAAGCTGACCCTTTTGCGCCTGGATATTACGCACGGCGTCGCGGAAGTTCTGGCGAGGAAAATTGCTATTTCGGGAACCGTGAAAACTAAGGGGCTGAAATTTTAGGGTAATGCCCCCTGCGTGTGCGATGCCGCAAATTTAAATTCCAGCTTTCTCGTCCGCCTGGATATCAAGTACGGCCTTGTGAAAGTTTTGGCGGGAGAAATTTTAGTTTCGTGGGAAAGAAGAGCTAGGAAGCTGAAAACTTCAGGAGGATGTTTTTTTCTGCTTATGCAGGAGCCTGACAAACCTCAGTTTTGCTCCCAAGTATGACGAATTCTCGCTACGACACGTAAAAGTTTTGACGCGAATGTTACTCAGAAGCCCGTGAACTAGAAGGTTGAAATTTTGGGGCAATTTTCACCGTCCAAGGTTTTGAATTCAGCTTTCATTTAAGTTTGGGCTTCACATACTAATGTGTGAAATTTTTTGGTGAGAATTTCGCAGCTTAGGAACCCACATCGATTATTTTTTAACCGACCAAAATGTAAAACAGTGAAAAATTTAAGAGGCAAACGTCCGCTGGTCGAAACTGCGCAAGAAGAATGATCGCACCAGCCGTCCTGGTGCGCGTCATTACTTATTTACAAAGTGTACTAACGACAAGCTAATTATTGCTACCAGCCCAAACCATCTAGCAACTACATAATAAAATAAAGCAAGGCATGTGTTTCTCGCATGAATTATAAACAGGAATCCCTAGCTTTTAATTTTGAAATAGGACTTATGTGGAATTTTAATTTTTTATCGATTTTTTATTTTTTTCCCAACAGCGTCCCATTGCATGTAGGTAGCAGCTGAAAGAAGCTAGTAGGAAGCCATGGCGAAATCGTATTCACATGTGCAGATCTAGGTAATATCACGGGTATCAAGCGTTTGAGCTACCCTTGTTTTTTGATGACTAATTAAAATGTAGTGCTATATTTTCAAAATCCCCTTTCACAAAAAAACCTCATCTTTCCCTGTCACTGGAAAACAAATTCCTTTTGTGGTACAAATTCTTAGGCTTCAATAAAAAATCACGCCTTTATCTTTGTTCAAACTTCCCCCGACTTCGTTCCGGCAGCGTTTTTTCACTGAAATCCCCCATGATGGCCGTGTATATAGAATTGGCAATGTGGATTTGAACTGAGTGTGGAATATTTCAAATTCTTTCCTTCACTGGTCATGGTGGGAACGCAACCTTGGATGACTTTACAGATTTCATTAGAATCTAGCTTCAGGTGAAGTACGCTAATTCATGACAAATGAAACGAAGAAGAAGCTGTGTGTGGACACCTCTTTTTATTGACAATTAATCCGGCTTCGCCAACAATCAGCTGTCCTTGTCCCGTATTTAGAAAAATCCTTTACCATCTTTCCACGACGTGTCTGGTCCATCACCATGTTTCACACGTGCGATGACATCGCATAATGTTTTATTGGTTGTTTTGGAAGATACTTCGTGAGTTCATCCATCAGTAGCGACCTACTGTTGTAAGCAAATGTCAAGAAATTCAGACCGTTCATTGCAGTATCCGTTAATCAGCTGAAATTTTTAGCAGCTGGTCTTCGTTCAGTTGCCGCTGCACCACTGTAATCTGTGGATGTTTTCTACCAGTAGTGGAAACTTCTTCTGAATTAGAATGTTTCAGTTGCTTCCCTTGAAAACACGCAATTTTCAATAACCCAGGCTGGAACACACCGGACGGTCCCTTGCGATTATTTGTTTTTGCACCGGACTTGAAGTACTCAGGTCATTAACTGCATGAATGGTTGCTGCTTTACACCTAC